GGGCCAGTATGGTCAGCCTGGGGCCAGTATGGTCAGCATGGGGCCAGTATGGTCAGCCCAGGACTAGTATAGTCTGCCGGGGCCAATATGGTCAGCCCGATGTCAGTATGGCCAGCCTGGGGTCAATATGGTCAGTCCTGGGTCAGCTGTGTGGTCAGCCCGGGGCCAGTATGGTCAGCACGTGGCCAGTATGGTCAGCACGTGGCGAGTATGGTCAGCACGTGGCCAGTATGGTCAGCCCGGGGTCATTATGGTCAGCACGTGGATACTACTATCCCCTACACCTGACTTTCCTCCTCAGCTCTCTCTTGCCTATTTATTGCCTGACCCTACCTCCTCATCACAATCGTCTTGAGAATTTTCCAGGACGGACCGAAACGTCGTCGTCCCTTCAACTTCTAGTGTGTGGTCTGGTCAACGTCAATATGGTCAACCCGGGGCCAGTATGGTCAGCCCGTGGCCAGTATGGTCAGCCCGGTGCCAGTATGGTCAGCCCGGTGCCAGTATGGTCAGCCCGGGGCCAGTATGGTCAGCCCGGGGCCAGTATGGTCAGCCCGGGGTCAGTATGGTCAGTCCTGGGTCAGTATGGTCAGCCCGGGGTCAGGACGGTCAGCCCGGGGTCAGTATGGTCAGCCCGGGGTCAGTATGGTCAGCCCGGGGTCAGTATGGTGAGCCCGGGGTCAGTATGGTCAGCCCGGGGTCAGTATGGTGAGCCCGGGGTCAGTATGGTGAGCCCGGGGTCAGTATGGTCAGCCCGGGGTCAGTATGGTGATCCCGGGGTCAGTATGGTCAGCCCGGGGTCATTATGGTCAGCCCGGGGTCAGTATGGTGAGCCCAGGGTCAGTATGGTGAGCCCGGGGTCAGTATGCAGTCAGCCCGGGGTCAGTATAGTCAGCCCGGGGTCAGTATGGTCAGCCCGGGGTCAATATGGTCAGCCCGGGGTCAGTATGGTGAGCCCGGGGTCAGTATGGTGAGCCCGGGGTCAGTATGGTCAGCCCGTGGTCAGTATGGTGAGCCCGGGGTCAGTATGGTGAGCCCGGGGTCAGTATGGTCAGCCCGGGGTCAGTATGGTCAGCCCGGGGTCAGTATGGTCAGCCCGGGGTCAGTATGGTCAGCCCGGGGTCAGTATGGTCAGCCCGGGGTCAGTATGGTCAGCCCGGGGTCAGTATGGTCAGCCCGGGGTCAGTATGGTCAGCCCGGGGTCAGTATAATGTGGAGAAAACAAAGGAGTTAACATTTCATGCATCTGGAGGAGCCCGTCCTCAGATCAAGTCTTTTCCATCCAGCGGTCGACCCCAAGGACGCATTCATAAATTTTAACATGCTGTTCATTCTAAACAGGAATTTTCTCAAATATAAATTAATATTATAATATATTAGCCTATTGTGCATATATAGGTATAGGTTAGGTTAGATTAGGTGTTTAGTTTCTGTTGGTGATTATTTGTATTTGTAGTACGTGGGTGAAACATTTATAGCGTTGTGGTTTGAACAGAATTCGTGAGTGAAGCGCTTGTTCCGGAAGTGTTCGAACGTCATCAGTTGTGAGTCGTGTGTAAACCGTTTTACATTCATAAACCAGCCCCGTCCTCCTGACAAAGACCCAAAAGTGATTCCATGCACCCGCCACATCCCCTGTTTATGAATGAAAAACGGTTTACACATGACTCACAACTGATGACGTTCGAACACTTCCGGAACAAGTGCTTCACTCACGAATTCTGTTCAAACCACAACGCTATAAATGTTTCACCCACGTACTACAAATACAAATGATCGGCAACAGAAAAAACCTATGCCGATATATGAATAATATGCTAATATATTATTATATTAATTTTATATGAGAAAACTCCTGTTTTGAGCGAACGGCGTGTTAAAATTTATGAATGCGTCCTTGGGGTCGACCTCTGGATGGAATGGACTTCAGTCGAGGACAGGTTGGCTCGCCAGGAAATGTTCACTAGTTAGTGAGGCGGCCAGATCCAGTTGGGACAGTCAGTGAGGCGGCCAGATCCTGTTGGGACAGTCAGTGAGGCGGCCAGATCCAGTTGGGACAGTCAGTGAGGCGGCCAGATCCAGTTGGAACAGTCAGTGAGGCGGCCAGATCCAGTTGGGACAGTCAGTGAGGCGGCCAGATCCTGTTGGGACAGTCAGTGAGGCGGCCAGATCCAGTTGGGACAGTCAGTGAGGCGGCCAGATCCAGTTGGGACAGTCAGTGAGGCGGCCAGATCCTGTTGGGACAGTCAGTGAGGCGGCCAGATCCTGTTGGGACAGTCAGTGAGGCGGCCAGATCCAGTTGGGACAGTCAGTGAGGCGGCCAGATCCTGTTCGGACAGTCAGTGAGGCGGCCAGATCCTGTTGGGACAGTCAGTGAGGCGGCCAGATCCTGTTGGGACAGTCAGTGAGGCGGCCAGATACTGTTGGGACAGTCAGTGAGGCGGCCAGATCCTGTTGGGACAGTCAGTGAGGCGGCCAGATCCTGTTGGGACAGTCAGTGAGGCGGCCAGATCCTGTCGGGACAGTCAGTGAGGCGGCCAGATCCTGTTGGGACAGTCAGTGAGGCGGCCAGATCCTGTTGAGACAGTCAGTGAGGCGGCCAGATCCTGTTCGGACAGTCAGTGAGGCAGTCAGATCCAGTTGGGACAGTCAGTGAGGCGGCCAGATCCTGTTGGGACAGTCAGTGAGGCGGCCAGATCCTGTTGGGACAGTCAGTGAGGCGGCCAGATCCTGTTGAGACAGTCAGTGAGGCGGCCAGATCCTGTTCGGACAGTCAGTGAGGCAGTCAGATCCAGTTGGGACAGTCAGTGAGGCGGCCAGATCCTGTTGGGACAGTCAGTGAGGCGGCCAGATCCTGTTGGGACAGTCAGTGAGGCGGCCAGATCCTGTTGAGACAGTCAGTGAGGCGGCCAGATCCTGTTGGGACAGTCAATGAGGCGGCCAGATCCAGTTGGGACAGTCAGTGAGGCGGCCAGATCCTGTTGGGACAGTCAGTGAGGCAGTCAGATCCTGTTAGGACAGTCAGTGAGGCGGCCAAATCCAGTTAGGACAGTCAGTGAGGCAGTCAGATCCTGTTAGGACAGTCAGTGAGGCGGCCAAATCCAGTTAGGACAGTCAGTGAGGCAGTCAGATCCTGTTGGGACAGTCAGTGAGGCGGCCAGACCTGTTGGGAAAGTCAGTGAGGCAGTCAGATCCTGTTGGGACAGTCAATGAGGCGGCCAGATTCAGTTGGGACAGTCAGTGAGGCAGTCAGATCCTGTTGGGACAGTCAGTGAGGCGGCCAGGTCCAGTTGGGACAGTCAGTGAGGCGGCTAGATCCAGTTGGAACAGTCAGTGAGGCGGCCAGATCCAGTTGGAACAGTCGGGTTCAGAAAAGCCAGCAACAAAGATGGTGACGTTGGGAGAAGCTTTAACAAAGATCCAAGTCGGCGCCACACTTGAAGGTTGGGAGAAGGTGGGGCAGAGAGCAATGGTTCTTCCACTTATTTAGTGCATTTACAGTGAACAGTGTACGGTGAGAGGTGTGACTGACATCAATACAGTAAAAGGAGCCTTGTTGTGTCATAATATAATAGTACGCATGGTAATGACGTTAATAGTGGAGGCAACTCAGGAGTGGTAGTGGGCGGTGTTACTGGGATTGTCGGAGTCAGGATATATTATTGTTCCACTGGTAAACGCTGACAAATACCTGTTGGTAAACAGTATTCTGGTGAACTGTGTTGCTAGTTGACACGAGGCTGGTGACCTGTCAGTATACTGGGTGACCTGTCAGTATACTGGGTGACTCATGGCTGGTGACCTGTCAGTATACTGGGTGACCTGTCAGTATACTAGGTGACCTGTCAGTATACTGGGTGACTCATGGCTGGTGACCTGTCAGTATACTGTACTTGGTGACTCATGGCTGGTGACTTGTCAGTATACTGTACTTGGTGACTCATGGCTGGTGACCTGTCAGTATACTGTACTTGGTGACTCATGGCTGGTGACCTATCAGTATACTGTACTTGTTGACTCATGGCTGGTGACCTATCAGTATTCTGTACTTGGTGACTCATGGCTGGTGACCTGTCAGTATACTGTACATGGTGACCTGTCAGTATACTGTACTTGGTGACTCATGGCTGGTGACCTGTTAGTATACTGTACTTGGTGACTCATGGCTGGTGACCTGTCAGTATACTGTACTTGGTGACTCATGGCTGGTGACCTATCAGTATACTGTACTTGTTGACTCATGACTGGTGACCTATCATTATTCTGTACTTGGTAACTCATGGCTGGTGACCTGTCAGTATACTGTACTTGTTGACTCATGGCTGGTGACCTGTCAGTATACTGTACTTGGTGACTCATGGCTGATGACCTGTCAGTATACTGCACTTGGTGACTCATGGCTGGTAACCTGTCAGTATACTGTACTTGGTGACTCATGACTGGTGACCTGTCAGTATACTGTACTTGGTGACTCATTGCTGGTGACCTGTCAGTATACTGTACTTGGTGACTCATTGCTGGTGACCTGTCAGTATACTGTACTTGGTGACTCATGGCTGGTGACCTGTCAGTATACTGTACTTGGTGACTCATTGCTGGTGACCTGTCAGTATACTGTACTTGGTGACTCATTGCTGGTGACCTGTCAGTATACTGTACTTGGTGACTCATTGCTGGTGACCTGTCAGTATACTGTACTTGGTGACTCATTGCTGGTGACCTGTCAGTATACTGTACTTGGTGACTCATTGCTGGTGACCTGTCAGTATACTGTACTTGGTGACTCATTGCTGGTGACCTGTCAGTATACTGTACTTGGTGACTAATAGCTGGTGACCTGTCAGTATACTGTACTTGGTGACTCATTGCTGGTGACCTGTCAGTATACTGTACTTGGTGACTAATAGCTGGTGACCTGTCATTATATAAATATCAGAATTTCTTTATATACATCTCACTCTCCCTGTGTGTCTCACTGTATCTCTCATTCTCCCTATGTGTCTCATTGTATCTCTCACTCTCTCTGTGTGTCTCACTGTATCTCTCAATCTCCCTATGTGTCTCATTGTATCTCTCACTCTCCCTGTGTGTCTCACTGTATCTCTCACTCTCCCTATGTGTCTCATTGTATCTCTCACTCTCCCTGTGTGTCTCACTGTATCTCTCACTCTCCCTGTGTGTCTCACTGTATCTCTCACTCTCCCTGTGTGTCTCACTGTATCTCTCACTGTTCTCAGCATTGTACGTGCCGGAGCAGCTGAGTGTGACGGTCAGTGAGGGTGAGGACCTCCGTCTGCGGTTCAAAATGCTGTACACAGCACCTCGTCAGTTCGTGTGGCAGAAGGAACCCGTCACTAGTAATGACTGGCAGTCATCTACCCTCACGGACGACGACCAGCTCATCATCCCGGCAGACAAGCTCAACGGCTCTGGCTTCTATTCTGTTATACCCCTCACCGCCTCATTCACCCCTGGGATTAACAAGAGGCTGTTTGGTACCTTCAGCCTGCTGGTGAGAGGTGAGCAGCGGCCACAACACCTCGTCTGGTAATTGATAGTCTTTCATAATATTCACCTGCGGGGTTTAGAAGCTGGGAGTTAAGTATCGGTGAACATAATTGTTGTAACTTTTGGTATTGTTACGTTTACATTATTCCTCATGACTTGTAACACCCAACATAGCCCTGAGACATGACTTGTAACACCCAACATAGACCTGAGACATGACTTGTAACACCCAACATAGCCCAGAGACATGACTTGTAACACCCAACATAGACCTGAGACATGACTTGTAACACCCAACATAGACCTGAGACATGACTTGTAACACCCAACATAGACCTGACACATGACTTGTAACACCCAACATAGACCTGACACATGACTTGTAACACCCAACATAGACCTGAGACATGACATGTAACACACAACATTGACCTGAGACATGATTTCTAACACCCAACGTAGATCTAAGACATGACTTGTAACACCCAACAAAGTCCTGAGACATGACTTGTAACACCCAACATAGCCCTGAGATATGACTTGTAACACATAACATAGACCTGAGACATGACTTGTAACACTCAACATAAACCTGAGACATGACTTGTAACACCCAACATAGACCTGACACATAACTTGTAACACCCAACATAGCCCTGAGACATGACTTGTAACACCCAACATAATCCTGAGACATGACTTGTAACACCCAACATAAACCTGAGACATGACTTGTAACACCCAACATAGACCTGACAGGACTTGTAACACCCAACATAGACCTGACATAGGACTTGTAACACCCAACATAGATCTGACACATGACTTGTAACACCCAACATAGACCTGACACAGGACTTGTAACACCCAACATAGACCTGACACATGACTTGTAACACCCAACATAAACCTGAGACATGACTTGTAACACCCAACATAGACCTGACACAAGACTTGTAACACCCAACATAGACCTGACACATGACTTGAAACACCCAACATAGACCTGATACATGACTTGTAACACCCAACATAGACCGGACACATAACTTGTAACACCCAAAATAGAGCTGAGACATGACTTGTAACACCCAACATAGACCTGACACAAGACTTGTAACACCCAACATAGACCTGACACAAGACTTGTAACACCCAACATAGACCTGACACAAGACTTGTAACACCCAACATAGACCTGACTCATAACTTGTAACACCCCACATAGACCTGACACATGACATGTAACACCCAACATAGACCTGACACAAGACTAGTAACACCCAACATAGACCTGACACATGACTTGTAACACCCAACATAGACCTGATACATGACTTGTAACACCCAACATAGACCTGAGACATAACTTGTAACACCCAACATAGACCTGACACATGACTTGTAACACCCAACTTAGATCTGACACATGACTTGTAACACCCAACATAGACCTGAGACATAACTTGTAACACCCAACATAGCCCTATACATGACTTGTAACACCCAACATAGACCTGAGACATAACTTGTAACACTCAACATAGACCTGACACATGACTTGTAACACCCAACATAGACCTGACACATGACTTGTAACACCCAACTTAGATCTGACACATGACTTGTAACACCCAACATAGACCTGAGACATAACTTGTAACACCCAACATAGCCCTATACATGACTTGTAACACCCAACATAGACCTGAGACATAACTTGTAACACTCAACATAGACCTGACACATGACTTGTAACACCCAACATAGACCTCAGACATGACTTGTAACACCCAACATAGACCTGACACATGACTTGTAACACCCAACATAGATCTGACACATGACTTGTAACACCCAACATAGACCTGACACATAACTTGTAACACCCAACATAGAGCTGACACATAACTTGTAACACCCAACATAGACCTGAGACATAACATGTAACACCCAACATAGACCTGACACATGACTTGTAACACCCAACATAGACCTGAGACATGACATGTAACACCCAACATAGACCACACTTTAGTAACGTCACATTAAATGTTACAGAGTGTCCAGCTGGTCGCTATGGTGAAGGCTGCAGTGAGTGGTGTCCAGACTGTATGTCCGGCGGCGCCTGTCACCCCCTGACTGGCGAGTGTGTGTGTCCCCCTTACCTGTCTGGGGACCGTTGTCAGACCCGTGAGTGTGTCCCCCTTACCTGTCTGGGGTCCGTTGTCAGACCCATGAGTGTGTGTCCCCCTTACCTGTCTGGGGACCGTTGTCAGACCCGTGAGTGTGTGTGTCCCCCTTACCTGTCTGGGGACCGTTGTCAGACCCGTGAGTGTGTGTCCCCCTTACCTGTCTGGGGACCGTTGTCAGACCCGTCAGTTGTGTCCCCCTTACCTGTCTGGGGACCGTTGTCAGACCCGTGAGTGTGTGTCCCTCTTACCTGTCTGGGGACCGTTGTCAGACCCGTGAGTGTGTGTCCCCCTTACCTGTCTGGGGACCGTTGTCAGACCCGTGAGTGTGTGTCCCTCTTACCTGTCTGGGGACCGTTGTCAGACCCGTGAGTGTGTACTCACCTATTTGTACTCACCTATTTGTGCTTCCAGGATCGAGCATTGACTCTTGGATCCCGCCTTTCTAGCTATCGGTTGTTTACAGCAATGACTCCTGTCCCATTTCCCTATCATACCTAGTTTTAAAAGTATGAATAGTATTTGCTTCCACAACCTGTTCCCCAAGTGCATTCCATTTTTCTACTACTCTCACGCTAAAAGAAAACTTCCTAACATCTCTGTGACTCATCTGAGTTTCCAGTTTCCACCCATGTCCCCTCGTTCTGTTATTATTACGTGTGAACATTTCATCTATTTCCACTTTGTCAATTCCCCTGAGTATTTTATATGTCACTATCATATCTCCTCTCTCCCTTCTTTTCTCTAGTGTCGTAAGGTTCAGTTCCTTCAGCCGCTCTTCATATCCCATCCCTCGTAACTCTGGGACAAGCCTCGTCGCAAACCTCTGAACCTTCTCCAGTTTCTTTATGTGTTTCTTCAGGTGGGGGCTCCATGACGGCGCGGCATACTCTAAGACGGGTCTCACGTAGGCAGTGTAAAGCGCCCTAAAAGCCTCCTCATTTAGGTTTCTGAATGAAGTTCTAATTTTCGCCAGTGTAGAGTACGCTGCTGTCGTTATCCTATTTATATGTGCCTCAGGAGTTAGATTAGGTGTCACATCCACTCCCAGGTCTTTTTCTCGAATCGTTACAGGTAGGCTGTTCCCCTTCATTGTGTACTGTCCCTTTGGTGTCCTGTCACCTGATCCCATTTCCATAACTTTACATTTACTGGTGTTAAACTCCAGTAGCCATTTCCCTGACCATCTCTGCAGCCTGTTTAAGTCATCTTGGAGGATCCTACAATCCTCGTCTGTCACAACTCTTCTCATTAATTTTGCGTCATCCGCAAACATTGACATGTATGATTCCACTCCTGTAAACATATCATTTACGTAAATTAGAAAGAGGATTGGTCCCAGCACCGATCCTTGAGGTACTCCACTTGTTACTGTTCGCCAGTCCGACTTTTCGCCCCTTACCATTACCCTGTGGCTCCTTCCTGTTAGGTAGTTCTTCACCCATACTAGGGCCTTTCCGCTTACTCCTGCCTGCCTCTCAAGTTTGTATAGCAGTCTCATGTGCGGTACTGTATCAAAGGCCTTTTGGCAGTCAAGAAATATGCAGTCTGCCCAGCCTTCTCTGTCCTGCCTTATCCTTGTTACTTTATCATAGAATTCTAAAAGGTTTGTTAGGCATGATTTTCCTGTCCAGAACCCATGTTGGTGCTTGTTTACAAACCCAATGCTCTCCAGGTGCTCAACAAGTCTTAGCCTAATTATTCTTTCAAGTATTTTGCAGGGGATGCTTGTCAGTGATACGGGTCTGTAGTTAAGTGCCTCCTCCCTATCACCTTTTTTGAAAATCGGTACGACATTTGCCTCCTTCCAGCAACTGGGCAATTCTCCCGACATAAGTGACTCATTAAAGATCATTGCCAGAGGCACGCTGAGAGCCTGCGCTGCCTCTTTAAGTATCCACGGTGATACTTTGTCTGGTCCAACAGCTTTATTTGCATCCAGTGTTGTCAACTGTTTCATTACATCCTCTGCTGTCACCTCTATATCTGATAGTCTTTCATCTTGGGTAATCTCTTCTAACAATGGGAGCTGCTCAGGCTCGGTTGTGAACACTCCATGGAATTTTGCATTCAGTACCTCGCAGATTTCCTTGTCGCTTTCTGTATATGCCCCTTCTGTTTTCCTCAGTCTTGTCACTTGGTCATTTACCGACATCTTCCTTCTTATATGGCTATGTAGTAATTTTGGTTGCTTTTTCGCTTTGACTGCAATATCATTCTCATAATTTCTTTCCGACACTCGTCTTATGTTAATGTAATCATTCCTAGCTCTGTTAAATCTAATCCTGTTGTCCTCTGTCCTTTGTCTTCTGTACTTCCTCCACTCCCTCCTGCTTCTCACCTTTGCTTCCTGACACTGTCTATTAAACCATGGGTTATTATATTCCCTCCTGCTTTTTTCTTTATTGTTGGAATAAATCTCTCTTCAGCCTCCTTGCATTTCAATATGACTTGGTTCATCATACCTTGCACTGTTTTTCCTCTAAGTTCTTCCTCCCACTGCACTTCTCCCAGGTAGTCCCTTGTCCTTCTGTAGTCCCCTTTTCTGTAATCAAGTCTCCTTTCCCGGACCTCTTGTCCTTTGGTCACAATTTTAAGCTCCATCATGTAGTCAAAGACTAGGACACAATGGTCACTAGCTCCTAGTGGTATTTCATGTTCCAACTGCTCGATGTCTTCTACATTCTGAGTGAAAATGAGATCTAATAGGCTGGGCGTATCCCCTCCTCTTTCCCTAGTATCTTCTTTCACATGCTGTGTTAGGAAATTCCTGTCAATAACGTCTACCAGCTTCGCTCCCCAGGTCTCCTCCCCGCCATGGGGATTCCTCGTTTCCCAATCTATCTCTCCGTGATTTAGGTCCCCCATGACCAGCAGCTTCGCTCTCATTCTATGCGCTAAAGTTGCTGCCCTCTGCAGTTCATCTATACATGTCTTGTTGCTGTCCTCGTACTCCTGCCTGGGCCTTCTACTGTTTGGTGGGGGATTGTAGAGTATCAAGATTACAATCTTCTTCCCATCCACTGTCAGAGTTCCATGTATGAAGCTCGTGCTTTCATTGGTACCCGGATTTTCCAGCTCATCAAACTTCCATTTCCGCTTTATTAGTAGTGCCACTCCTCCTCCCTGTCTCTGTGTCCTTTCTTTTCTTATCACCTGGTACCCCTCTGGAAAGATTGCATCCGAGATCATGCCATTTATTTTAGTTTCCACTATTGCCACTATGTCTGGGTCTGCCTCACTAACTCTTTCTTTTATCTCTTCTGCTTTATTGGCTACCCCATCAGCATTGGTGTACCAGACCTTGAGACTCTTCTTGGAAACTCGGATGTCAGAGTTCCCCCTTTCACCAGGGGTCTGGGGGGAACTGGGGGGTGTCGGGGGGCAAGTGGGGGCTGTGGGGGTGAGTGGGGGGGTGCTAGGGGGGTGCCTGGGAGTGCCTGGTAGGCGAATGGGGTCTGGGCATCTAGGGGGGTAGGAAGGGCATAATGGGTCTGAAAGTTAGGGGTCTGAATAGCATAGAGGGGTTGAGAAATAGAGTGAGACTGAGAGTCAGATAGAGGTTGAGAGGTTGGGGGGGAGAGGGATACTGAGGGCAGAGGGCTGAGATGAGAATGGAGCATGGGTGCTGGGAGTGGAAGAGAGGGTATATTAGTTAGGGGGGAATCGGGGGTAGGTGGGGGTTTTCGGGTAGAAGAGGGGAAGAGGGAGATGGGGGAAGGTGTTAGGGGGTCACAAGGTGAGGGGGTTAAATGTGGGCTGGAAGTGCATAGGAGGGGTGAGGGTTGGGTGGGGTTTGGGGGTGAGTGGAAGAGGGGTGCAGTGGAAGCTGGGATGGAGTAGATGGAAATGAAGTCAATGGGGTAGAAGGGGCAGGGGAGTAGGAAGGGGTAGTTGGGGAGGGGGGATGGGAAGGTGGGTTTGGGGAGGGCATGGCTTGATCCACTGGGGTTGTTGACAGGTGTGATGTAGCAGGGGCACGGGAATCGTTGGGGAGGTGCAAATGTGGAAGGGACAGGGGGGTTTTGGGAGGCTGAGGCAGGGGGGAGATATAGGAGGGCTGAGTTGGGGAGGATGCGACCTGGGAGGTGACCTGGGAGGTGGCCTGGGAGGTGACCTGGGATGTGACCTGGGAGGTGAGACTACCTGAGAGGCAAGTTCGGTGTCGTTGTTGCCATCTATTCTTGTGGGCTATTTGCTCATCTTTCGTCATAAACCTCTCTATAAACACATTGTAATGGGTTTCACTTCCTCTGAGTAAATGCTTGGTCCTCATTATGTATTCCACAGCCTCCTCATTGGAGAATTGCACCAGAACAGGTCTATTCTTGGTACAATTGTAAGGTCCAACCCGGCGGCTGATATCCACCTCGTGTTCTGCCATTCCTGCTCCAATACACCTCAATATCTCGTGCAATTCGTATTTTTCCGTTTCTATTCTCTCTTGTCTTGTTGGTACCCCAGATTCGAATAATCCATGTATTATAATAGACGTGTGTGTCCCCCCTTACCTGTCTGGGGACCGTTGTCAGACCCGTGAGTGTGTGTCCCCCTTACCTGTCTGGGGACCGTTGTCAGACCCGTGAGTTGTGTCCCCTCTTACCTGTCTGGGGACCGTTGTCAGACCCGTGAGTGTGTGTCCCCCTTACCTGTCTGGGGACCGTTGTCAGACCCGTGAGTGTGTGTCCCCCTTACCTGTCTGGGGACCGTTGTCAGACCCGTGAGTGTGTGTCCCCCTTACCTGTCTGGGGCCCGTTGTCAGACCCGTGAGTGGTGTCCCCCTACCACGAACTAGTACCCGAATTGAGAAGTAAGAACTACGAGGAGAGACTACGGGAATTAAGCCTCATGTCCCTGAAAGACAGAAGAGTTCGGGGGAACATGATCACCACTTACAAGATACTCAAATGTATATATAGGGTATATAAAGACAGTTTATTTAACACTAGGGGCACACACACTAAGGGACATAGGTTGAAATTGGGTGTCCATATAAACTATAGATACATTAGAAAAACTTTTTTTAGTGTCAGATTAGTTGACAAATGGAAAGCTTTAGGAAGTGATGTGGTGGAGGCAGACTCCAAACACAGTTTCAAATGTAGATTTGATAGAACCCAATAGGCTCAGGAACCTGTACATCAGTTGGCTGGCAGTTAAGAGGCGGGACCAAAGAGCCAGAGCTCAACCCCACAAGCACAACTAGTATGTATGCACGCCCTCCCTATCTCCACCAAAACCACCCCCTCTCCACCCTCTCGGTGTCCCCCATCACTAACCATTGTTCATGTGCAATATCTTCAACACTAACCAAAGGTTGAGTCCAGAATACAAACCTGTCATCTGAACTTATGTTTTAAAACTAATATCTAAATTCACTATTCTTTAAACTAAAGCTAAAGCAGTGATATTGGGGCCGTCCTTAAGTTGAGGGGGGCATGGGGCCGTCCTTATGTTGAGGGGGGACACGGGGCCGTCCTTATGTTGAGGGGGGACACGGGGCCGTCCTTATGTTGAGGGAGGACACGGGGCCGTCCTTATGTTGAGGGGGGGACACGGGGCCGTCCTTATGTTGAGGGAGGACACGGGGCCGTCCTTATGTTGAGGGGGGACACGGGGCCGTCCTTATGTTGAGGGAGGACACGGGGCCGTCCTTATGTTGAGGGAGGACACGGGGCCGTCCTTATGTTGAGGGAGGACACGGGGCCGTCCTTATGTTGTGGGGGGACACGGGGCCGTCCTTATGTTGAGGGGGGACACGGGGCCGTCCTTATGTTGAGGGAGGACACGGGGCCGTCCTCATGTTGAGGGGAGGACACGGGGCCGTCCCCATCTTGAGGGGGGGACACGGGGCCGTCCCCATCTTAAGGGGGGGACACGGGGCCGTCCCCATCTTGAGGGAGGACACGGGGCCGTCCTTATGTTGAGGGGGGACACGGGGCCGTCCTTATGTTGAGGGGGGACACGGGGCCGTCCCCATCTTGAGGGAGGACACGGGGCCGTCCTTATGTTGAGGGAGGACACGGGGCCGTCCTTATGTTGAGGGGGGACACGGGGCCGTCCTTATGTTGAGGGGGGACACGGGGCCGTCCTTATGTTGAGGGGGGACACGGGGCCGTCCTTATGTTGAGGGAGGACACGGGGCCGTCCTTATGTTGAGGGAGGACACGGGGCCGTCCTTATGTTGAGGGGGGGACACGGGGCCGTCCTTATGTTGAGGGGGGACACGGGGCCGTCCTCATGTTGAGGGGAGGACACGGGGCCGTCCCCATCTTGAGGGGGGGGCACGGGGCCGTCCCCATCTTAAGGGGGGGACACGGGGCCGTCCCCATCTTGAGGGAGGACACGGGGCCGTCCTTATGTTGAGGGGGGACACGGGGCCGTCCTTATGTTGAGGGGGGACACGGGGCCGTCCTTATGTTGAGGGGGGGACACGGGGCCGTCCTTATGTTGAGGGGGGGAAACGGGGCCGTCCCCATCTTGAGGGGGGGGACACGGGGCCGTCCTTATGTTGAGGGAGGACACGGGGCCGTCCCCATCTTGAGGGGGGGACACGGGGCCGTCCTTATGTTGAGGGAGGACACGGGGCCGTCCCCATCTTGAGAGGGGGACACGGGGCCGTCCCCATCTTAAGGGGAGGACACGGGGCCGTCCTCATGTTGAGGGGAGGACACGGGGCCGTCCCCATCTTGAGGGGGGGACACGGGGCCGTCCCCATCTTAAGGGGGGGACACGGGGCCGTCCCCATCTTTAGGGAGGACACGGGGCCGTCCTTATGTTGAGGGGGGACACGGGGCCGTCCTTATGTTGAGGGGGGACACGGGGCCGTCCCCATCTTGAGGGAGGACACGGGGCCGTCCTTATGTTGAGGGAGGACACGGGGCCGTCCTTATGTTGAGGGGGGACACGGGGCCGTCCTTATGTTGAGGGAGGACACGGGGCCGTCCTTATGTTGAGGGGGGACACGGGGCCGTCCTTATGTTGAGGGGGGACACGGGGCCGTCCTTATGTTGAGGGAGGACACGGGGCCGTCCTTATGTTGAGGGAGGACACGGGGCCGTCCTTATGTTGAGGGGAGGAAACGGGGCCGTCCTTATGTTGAGGGGGGACACGGGGCCGTCCTCATGTTGAGGGGAGGACACGGGGCCGTCCCCATCTTGAGGGGGGACACGGGGCCGTCCCCATCTTAAGGGGGGGACACGGGGCCGTCCCCATCTTGAGGGAGGACACGGGGCCGTCCTAATGTTGAGGGGGGACACGGGGCCGTCCTTATGTTGAGGGGGGGACACGGGGCCGTCCCCATCTTGAGGGGGGGACACGGGGCCGTCCTTATGTTGAGGGAGGACACGGGGCCGTCCCCATCTTGAGGGGGGGACACGGGGCCGTCCCCATCTTAAGGGGAGGACACGGGGCCGTCCTCATGTTGAGGGGAGGACACGGGGCCGTCCCCATCTTGAGGGGGGGACACGGGGCCGTCCCCATCTTAAGGGGGGGACACGGGGCTGTCCCCATCTTGAGGGAGGACAAGGGGCCGTCCCCATCTTGAGGGAGGACACGGGGCCGTCCTTATGTTGAGGGGGGACACGGGGCCGTCCTTATGTTGAGGGGGGCATGCGGCCGTCCTTATGTTGAGGGGGGACACGGGGCCGTCCTTATGTTGAGGGAGGACACGGGGCCGTCCTTATGCTGAGGGGGGACACGGGGCCGTCCTTATGTTGAGGGGGGACACGGGGCCGTCCTTATGTTGAGGGAGGACACGGGGCCGTCCTTATGTTGAGGGGGGACACGGGGCCGTCCTCATGTTGAGGGGGGACACGGGGCCGTCCTTATGTTGAGGGGGGAACACGGGGCCGTCCTTATGTTGAGGGGGGACACGGGGCCGTCCTTATGTTGAGGGGGGGACACGGGGCCGTCCTTATGTTGAGGGAGGACACGGGGCCGTCCTTATGTTGAGGGGGGACACGGGGCCGTCCTTATGTTGAGGGGGGACACGGGGCCGTCCTTATGTTGAGGGAGGACACGGGGCCGTCCTTATGTTGAGGGGGGACACGGGGCCGTCCTCATGTTGAGGGGGGGACACGGGGCCGTCCTTATGTTGAGGGGGGGACACGGGGCCGTCCTTATGTTGAGGGGGGGACACGGGGCCGTCCTTATTTTGAGGGAGGACACGGGGCCGTCCTTATGTTGAGGGGGGGACACGGGGCCGTCCTTATGTTGAGGGGGGACACGGGGCCGTCCCCATCTTAAGGGGGGGACACGGGGCCGTCCTTATGTTGAGGGGGGACACGGGGCCGTCCTCATGTTGAGGGGGGACACGGGGCCGTCCCCATCTTAAGGGGGGGGACACGGGGCCGTCCTTATGTTGAGGGGGGACACGGGGCCGTCCTTATGTTGAGGGGGGACACGGGGCCGTCCTTATGTTGAGGGGGGACACGGGGCCGTCCTTATGTTGAGGGGGGACACGGGGCCGTCCTCATGTTGAGGGGGGGACACGGGGCCGTCCTTATGTTGAGGGGGGACACGGGGCCGTCCTCATGTTGAGGGGGGACACGGGGCCGTCCCCATCTTAAGGGGGGGACACGGGGCCGTCCTTATGTTGAGGGGGGACACGGGGCCGTCCTCATGTTGAGGGGGGACACAGGGCCGTCCCCATCTTAAGGGGGGGACACGGGGCCGTCCTTATGTTGAGGGGGGGACACGGGGCCGTCCTTATGTTGAGAGGGGACACGGGGCCGTCCTTATGTTGAGGGGGGACACGGGGCCGTCCTCATGTTGAGGGGGGGACACGGGGCCGTCCTTATGTTGAGGGGGGGACACGGGGCCGTCCTTATGTTGAGGGGGGACACGGGGCCGTCCTCATGTTGAGGGGGGACACGGGGCCGTCCTTATGTTGAGGGGGGGGACACGGGGCCGTCCCCATCTTGAGGGAGGACACGGGGCCGTCCCCATCTTGAGGGAGGACACGGGGCCGTCCCCATCTTGAGGGGGGGGAAACGGGGCCGTCCCTATCTTAAGGGGGGGACACGGGGCCGTCCCCATCTTGAGGGGGGACACGGGGCCGTCCCCATCTTAAGGGGGGGACACGGAGCCGTCCTTATGATTAGGGGGGGGGGTGGCACAGGGCCGTGGCACAATTATCCTGTAAAGGTTAGTCAGGCTAGCCCTAGGCATCTCTCTCTCACCCCGCACACATTCTCTCCATACCTCACATACATTCGAAGTATATCCTATTTGCACATCATATATACTGCTAGTATTTGCCCCATATGTATTATGCTTTGTACCTTCGTATGTATCTCTTGGTTTATACTGTATGGTGTACCCTCATATGTACGCCTGTACCACACACACGCCCCAGTGTACCTGTCCTCCCCCAGGGTGCAACACCACCGTGATGGGTCGGGACTGTACCGTGGAGCTATGGGAGCCCCGGGGGAAGCAGGTGTGTCTCCCACACCCGCTGGGGTGTCACTGCGCCCCGGGCTACACCGGCCACACATGCACCACAGGTAAGGCAACACTCTCTCTCTGAAATAAATTCAATAAACATTACAATTTTATCATTATTGTTGAGTTAGTATAAATGTTATCAAAATTATCAGCGACAGTTGTAGCAGCAGCAACAGTCGTCATTGTAGACGCAGAAGTTATCGTCACAAAGTCATACTGAACTTACTAGCAGTGTAAGTAATAGCTGTGAGAGCTATGGTAGTACTAGCAGTGTAAGAAATAGCTGTGAGAGCTATGGTAGTACTAGCAGTGTAAGTAATAGCTGTGAGAGCTATGGTAGTACTAGCAGTGTAAGTAATAGCTGTGAGAGCTATGGTAGTACTAGCAGTGTAAGTAATAGCTGTGAGAGCTATGGTAGTACTAGCAGTGTAAGTAATAGCTGTGAGAGCTATGGTAGTACTAGCAGTGTAAGTAATAGCTGTGAGAGCTATGGTAGTACTAGCAGTGTAAGTAATAGCTGTGAGAGCTATGGTAGTACTAGCAGTGTAAGTAATAGCTGTGAGAGCTATGGTAGTACTAGCAGTGTAAGTAATAGCTGTGAGAGCTATGGTAGTACTAGCAGTGTAAGTAATAGCTGTGAGAGCTATGGTAGTACTAGCAGTGTAAGTAATAGCTGTGAGAGCTATGGTAGTACTAGCAGTGTAAGTAATAGCTGTGAGAGCTATGGTAGTACTAGCAGTGTAAGTAATAGCTGTGAGAGCTATGGTAGTACTAGCAGTGTAAGTAATAGCTGTGAGAGCTATGGTAGTACTAGCAGTGTAAGTAATAGCTGTGAGAGCTATGGTAGTACTAGCAGTGTAAGTAATAGCTGTGAGAGCTATGGTAGTACTAGCAGTGTAAGTAATAGCTGTGAGAGCTATGGTAGTACTAGCAGTGTAAGTAATAGCTGTGAGAGCTATGGTAGTACTAGCAGTGTAAGTAATAGCTGTGAGAGCTATGGTAGTACCAGCAGTGTAAGTAATAGCTGTGAGAGCTATGGTAGTACCAGCAGTGTAAGTAATAGCTGTGAGAGCTATGGTAGTACCAGCAGTGTAAGTAATAGCTGTGAGAGCTATGGTAGTACCAGCAGTGTAAGTAATAGCTGTGAGAGCTATGGTAGTACTAGCAGTGTAAGTAATAGCTGTGAGAGCTATGGTAGTACTAGCAGTGTAAGTAATAGCTGTGAGAGCTATGGTAGTACTAGCAGTGTAAGTAATAGCTGTGAGAGCTATGGTAGTACTAGCAGTGTAAGTAATAGCTGTGAGAGCTATGGTAGTACTAGCAGTGTAAGTAATAGCTGTGAGAGCTATGGTAGTACTAGCAGTGTAAGTAATAGCTGTGAGAGCTATGGTAGTACTAGCAGTGTAAGTAATAGCTGTGAGAGCTATGGTAGTACTAGCAGTGTAAGTAATAGCTGTGAGAGCTATGGTAGTACTAGCAGTGTAAGTAATAGCTGTGAGAGCTATGGTAGTACTAGCAGTGTAAGTAATAGCTGTGAGAGCTATGGTAGTACTAGCAGTGTAAGTAATAGCTGTGAGAGCTATGGTAGTACTAGCAGTGTAAGTAATAGCTGTGAGAGCTATGGTAGTACTAGCAGTGTAAGTAATAGCTGTGAGAGCTATGGTAGTACTAGCAGTGTAAGTAATAGCTGTGAGAGCTATGGTAGTACTAGCAGTGTAAGTAATAGCTGTGAGAGCTATGGTAGTACTAGCAGTGTAAGTAATAGCTGTGAGAGCTATGGTAGTACTAGCAGTGTAAGTAATAGCTGTGAGAGCTATGGTAGTACTAGCAGTGTAAGTAATAGCTGTGAGAGCTATGGTAGTACTAGCAGTGTAAGTAATAGCTGTGAGAGCTATGGTAGTACTAGCAGTGTAAGTAATAGCTGTGAGAGCTATGGTAGTACTAGCAGTGTAAGTAATAGCTGTGAGAGCTATGGTAGTACTAGCAGTGTAAGTAATAGCTGTGAGAGCTATGGTAGTACTAGCAGTGTAAGTAATAGCTGTGAGAGCTATGGTAGTACTAGCAGTGTAAGTAATAGCTGTGAGAGCTATGGTAGTACTAGCAGTGTAAGTAATAGCTGTGAGAGCTATGGTAGTACTAGCAGTGTAAGTAATAGCTGTGAGAGCTATGGTAGTACTAGCAGTGTAAGTAATAGCTGTGAGAGCTATGGTAGTACTAGCAGTGTAAGTAATAGCTGTGAGAGCTATGGTAGTACTAGCAGTGTAAGTAATAGCTGTGAGAGCTATGGTAGTACTAGCAGTGTAAGTAATAGCTGTGAGAGCTATGGTAGTACTAGCAGTGTAAGTAATAGCTGTGAGAGCTATGGTAGTACTAGCAGTGTAAGTAATAGCTGTGAGAGCTATGGTAGTACTAGCAGTGTAAGTAATAGCTGTGAGAGCTATGGTAGTACCAGCAGTGTAAGTAATAGCTGTGAGAGCTATGGTAGTACCAGCAGTGTAAGTAATAGCTGTGAGAGCTATGGTAGTACTAGCAGTGTAAGTAATAGCTGTGAGAGCTATGGTAGTACTAGCAGTGTAAGTAATAGCTGTGAGAGCTATGGTAGTACTAGCAGTGTAAGTAATAGCTGTGAGAGCTATGGTAGTACTAGCAGTGTAAGTAATAGCTGTGAGAGCTATGGTAGTACTAGCAGTGTAAGTAATAGCTGTGAGAGCTATGGTAGTACTAGCAGTGTAAGTAATAGCTGTGAGAGCTATGGTAGTACTAGCAGTGTAAGTAATAGCTGTGAGAGCTATGGTAGTACTAGCAGTGTAAGTAATAGCTGTGAGAGCTATGGTAGTACTAGCAGTGTAAGTAATAGCTGTGAGAGCTATGGTAGTACTAGCAGTGTAAGTAATAGCTGTGAGAGCTATGGTAGTACTAGCAGTGTAAGTAATAGCTGTGAGAGCTATGGTAGTACTAGCAGTGTAAGTAATAGCTGTGAGAGCTATGGTAGTACTAGCAGTGTAAGTAATAGCTGTGAGAGCTATGGTAGTACTAGCAGTGTAAGTAATAGCCGTGAGAGCTATGGTAGTACTAGCAGTGTAAGTAATAGCCGTGAGAGCTATGGTAGTACTAGCAGTGTAAGTAATAGCTGTGAGAGCTATGGTAGTACTAGCAGTGTAAGTAATAGCTGTGAGAGCTATGGTAGTACTAGCAGTGTAAGTAATAGCTGTGAGAGCTATGGTAGTACTAGCAGTGTAAGTAATAGCTGTGAGAGCTATGGTAGTACTAGCAGTGTAAGTAATAGCTGTGAGAGCTATGGTAGTACTAGCAGTGTAAGTAATAGCTGTGAGAGCTATGGTAGTACTAGCAGTGTAAGTAATAGCTGTGAGAGCTATGGTAGTACTAGCAGTGTAAGTAATAGCTGTGAGAACTATGGTAGTACTAGCAGTGTAAGTAATAGCTGTGAGAGCTATGGTAGTACTAGCAGTGTAAGTAATAGCCGTGAGAGCTATGGTAGTACTAGCAGTGTAAGTAATAGCCGTGAGAGCTATGGTAGTACTAGCAGTGTAAGTAATAGCCGTGAGAGCTATGGTAGTACTAGCAGTGTAAGTAATAGCCGTGAGAGCTATGGTAGTACTAGCAGTGTAAGTAATAGCTGTGAGAGCTATGGTAGTACTAGCAGTGTAAGTAATAGCTGTGAGAGCTATGGTAGTACTAGCAGTGTAAGTAATAGCTGTGAGAGCTATGGTAGTACTAGCAGTGTAAGTAATAGCTGTGAGAGCTATGGTAGTACTAGCAGTGTAAGTAATAGCTGTGAGAACTATGGTAGTACTAGCAGTGTAAGTAATAGCCGTGAGAGCTATGGTAGTACTAGCAATGTAAGTAATAGCCGTGAGAGCTATGGTAGTACTAGCAGTGTAAGTAATAGCTGTGAGAGCTAGGGTAGTACTAGCAGTGTAAGTAATAGCTGTGAGAGCTATGGTAGTACTAGCAGTGTAAGTAATAGCCGTGAGAGCTATGGTAGTACTAGCAGTGTAAGTAATAGCCGTGAGAGCTATGGTAGTACTAGCAGTGTAAGTAATAGCTGTGAGAACTATGGTAGTACTAGCAGTGTAAGTAATAGCCGTGAGAGCTATGGTAGTACTAGCAGTGTAAGTAATAGCCGTGAGAGCTATGGCAGTACTAGCAGTGTAAGTAATAGCTGTGAGAGCTATGGTAGTACTAGCAGTGTAAGTAATAGCTGTGAGAACTATGGTAGTACTGATTACGTATATTTGTACGCAAGAGAGTCTAGCGAACAAAATATTACGCATAAGCAAAACTATCCATCTAAACTGTACGCTGTTCCCTACAAGGCTCAAGTGAAGGGCATAACCTGATAAAGGTCAGTTGACTTGGGTAGGCTGGTTGGTTGCTTTGTTTGTTTAACATGAACAAGGTGGCAGCAAGGTGTAGAAACATAACAACTAGAGTTTGAACAAACAAGAACTACCTCAAGGTGTCCAACCTCGTCGGTCTGATAATGGTCTTATTTCCGGAGTAGGTCGTCTGATTGATGGTTAAATGTGTAAAAGTTAAATATTAGTGACATAGTATTAGACATGTTGTTCAGTTAGTAGCAGTAAACCACTAAGAGTAGCAGTAAACCAATAAGAGTAGCAGTAAACCAATAAGAGTAGCAGTAAACCAATAAGAGTTTACTGCTACTCCGTTAGCCGTGAGAGCTATGGTAGTACTAGCAGTGTAAGTAATAGCCGTGAGAGCTATGGTAGTACTAGCAGTGTAAGTAATAGCCGTGAGAGCTATGGTAGTACTAGCAGTGTAAGTAATAGCTGTGAGAGCTATGGTAGTACTAGCAGTGTAAGTAATAGCTGTGAGAGCTATGGTAGTACTAGCAGTGTAAGTAATAGCTGTGAGAGCTATGGTAGTACTAGCAGTGTAAGTAATAGCTGTGAGAGCTATGGTAGTACTAGCAGTGTAAGTAATAGCTGTGAGAACTATGGTAGTACTAGCAGTGTAAGTAATAGCCGTGAGAGCTATGGTAGTACTAGCAGTGTAAGTAATAGCCGTGAGAGCTATGGTAGTACTAGCAGTGTAAGTAATAGCTGTGAGAGCTAGGGTAGTACTAGCAGTGTAAGTAATAGCTGTGAGAGCTATGGTAGTACTAGCAGTGTAAGTAATAGCCGTGAGAGCTATGGTAGTACTAGCAGTGTAAGTAATAGCCGTGAGAGCTATGGTAGTACTAGCAGTGTAAGTAATAGCTGTGAGAACTATGGTAGTACTAGCAGTGTAAGTAATAGCCGTGAGAGCTATGGTAGTACTAGCAGTGTAAGTAATAGCCGTGAGAGCTATGGCAGTACTAGCAGTGTAAGTAATAGCTGTGAGAGCTATGGTAGTACTAGCAGTGTAAGTAATAGCTGTGAGAACTATGGTAGTACTGATTACGTATATTTGTACGCAAGAGAGTCTAGCGAACAAAATATTACGCATAAGCAAAACTATCCATCTAAACTGTACGCTGTTCCCTACAAGGCTCAAGTGAAGGGCATAACCTGATAAAGGTCAGTTGACTTGGGTAGGCTGGTTGGTTGCTTTGTTTGTTTAACATGAACAAGGTGGCAGCAAGGTGTAGAAACATAACAACTAGAGTTTGAACAAACAAGAACTACCTCAAGGTGTCCAACCTCGTCGGTCTGATAATGGTCTTATTTCCGGAGTAGGTCGTCTGATTGATGGTTAAATGTGTAAAAGTTAAATATTAGTGACATAGTATTAGACATGTTGTTCAGTTAGTAGCAGTAAACCACTAAGAGTAGCAGTAAACCAATAAGAGTAGCAGTAAACCAATAAGAGTAGCAGTAAACCAATAAGAGTAGCAGTAAACCAATAAGAGTAGCAGTAAACCAATAAGAGTAGCAGTAAACCAATAAGAGTAGCAGTAAACCAATAAGAGTAGCAGTAAGCCAATAAGAGTAATAGTAAACCAATAAGAGTAGCAGTAAACCAATACAAGTAGCAGTAAACCAATAAGAGTAGCAGTAAACCAATAAGAGTAGCAGTAAACCAATAAGAGTAGCAGTAAACCAATAAGAGTAATAGTAAACCAATAAGAGTAGCAGTAAACCAATACAAGTAGCAGTAAACCAATAAGAGTAGCAGTAAACCAATAAGAGTAGCAGTAAACCAATAAGAGTAGCAGTAAACCAATAAGAGTACCAGTAAACCAATACAAGTAGCAGTAAACCAATAAGAGTAGCAGTAAACCAATAAGAGTAACAGTAAACCAATAAGAGTAGCAGTAAACCAATAAGAGTAGCAGTAAACCAATAAGAGTAGCAGTAAACCAATAAGAGCAGCAGTAAACCAATAAGAGTAATAGTAAACCAATAAGAGTAGCAGTAAACCAATACGAGTAATAGTAAACCAATAAGAGTAGCAGTAAACCAATAAGAGTAGCAGTAAACCAATAAGAGTAGCAGTAAACCAATAAGAGTAATAGTAAACCAATAAGAGTAGCAGTAAACCAATACAAGTAGCAGTAAACCAATAAGAGTAGCAGTAAACCAATAAGAGTAGCAGTAAACCAATAAGAGTAGCAGTAAACCAATAAGAGTACCAGTAAACCAATACAAGTAGCAGTAAACCAATAAGAGTAGCAGTAAACCAATAAGAGTAGCAGTAAACCAATAAGAGTAGCAGTAAACCAATAAGAGTAGCAGTAAACCAATAAGAGTAGCAGTAAACCAATAAGAGTAGCAGTAAACCAATAAGAGTAGCAGTAAACCACTAAGAGTGGCAGTAAACCAATAAGAGTAGCAGTAAACCAATAAGAGTAGCAGTAAACCAATAAGAGTAGCAGTAAACCACTAAGAGTGGCAGTAAACCAATAAGAGTAACAGTAAACCACTAAGAGTAGCAGTAAACCAATAAGAGTAGCAGTAAACCCATGAAAGTAGCAAGGACAGCAGTTCTTATATAAACATTGTTGATGTATTAACATGTTTACCTGTGAGGAAGAGTGTGGAGGAGGCCGCTGGGGTGTGGAGTGTTCCCAGTCTTGCCGCCACCACTGTCAAGGTGACTGTCACCCCCACAACGGTCACTGTCACTCACCAGGACCAGCTGACTGTGCCGGAGGTCAGTGTCACTCTTATGTGTTCGCTAGTGACTGTGTAGTGTGTGTGTGTGTGTGTGTGTGTGTGTGTGTGTGTGTGTGTGTGTGTGTGTGTGTGTGTGTGTGTGTGTGTGTGTGTGTGTGTGTGTGTGTGTGTGTGTGTGTGTGTGTGTGTGTGTGTGTGTGGGTGTGTGTGTGTGGGTGTGTGTGTGTGTGTGTGCGTGTGTGTACTCACCTATTTGTACTCACCTAGTTGTGCTTGCGGGGGTTGAGCTTTGAACTCTCAATTGTCAATCAACTGATGTACAAATTCCTGAGCTTACTGGGCTCTATCATATCTACATTTGAAACTGTGTATGGAGTCAGCCTCTACCAAATCACTTCCTAGTGCATTCCGTATTTTAACTACTCTGACACTGAAAAAGTTCTTTCTAATATCTCTGTGGCTCATCTGGGTACAAAGTTTTCACCTGTGTTCCCTTGTTCGTGTTTCGCTCGTGCTAAAGAGTTTGTTTTTTTGTCCACCTGTCAATTCCCCTGAGAATTCTGTAGGTGGTTATGATATCTCCTCTTAATCTTCTGTTATCCAGGGACGTGAGTTTCAGCTCCTTTAGCCTTTCCTCGTAGCTCATACCTCTCAGTTCTGGGACGAGTCTGGTAGCACACTCCGCTGAATATTCTCTAACTTTGTCATGTGTTTAACTAGGTATGGACTCCAAGCAGGAGCTGCATATTCCAGGATTGGTCTGACATAAGTGGTATACAGAGTCCTGAACGATTCCTTACATAAATTTCTAAAGGCAGTTCTTATGTTGGCCAGTCTGGCATATGCAGCTGAGGATATCCTTTGATGAGGGCTCTAGGGGCAGGTTCGGTGTGATTATAAACTCCCAGATCCTTCTCTCTATATGACTCTTATAGGATTTCACCTCCCAGATGGTACCTTGTGTTCAGCCTCCTGCTCCCATCGCCTAATTTCATTACTTTTCACTTTTCTGAGTTGAACTTTAGTAGCCATTTTCTAGACAACTCCTCCAGCCTGTCCAGGTCGTCCTGTAGTCTCTGTCTATCATCATCTGTCTTGATTCTTCTCATAATTTTTGCATCATTAGCAAACATTGAGAGAAATGAGTGTATACTCTCTGAAAGATCGTTTACATATATTAGAAACAGGATGGGTCCAAGTACAGAGCCCTGTGAGACTCCGCTAGTGACATCTCGCCACTCTGATATCTCCCCCCTCTTCCTCACAGTTACTCACTGTTTCCTGTTGCTTAGGTACTCCCTAATCCACTGGCGCACCTTACCTGCATATTGCTCCAACTTTCGTAACAACCTTTCAAAGGGTACTGTGTCAAAAGCTTTCTGACAGTCCAAGAAAACGCAGTCTGCCCACCCTTCTGTTTCTTGCCTAATTTTTGTTGCTTGGTTATATAATTCTATTAACCCTGTGAGGTACGATTTACCATCTCTGAACCCATGCTGGTGGTTTGTTACAAAGCTATTTCCCTCCAGATACTATACGAGCCTTTTTTCACGATCTTCTCTATCACCTTGCATGGTATACAAGTTAGGAAAACTGGCTTGTAGTTCAGTGCCTCTTGCCTGTCACCTTTTATGTATATTGGGACTACATTAGCTGTTTTCCAGCTTTCTGGTAGGTCTCCTGTTTCCAGTGATCTATTATACACCATAGAGAGTGGCACGCTCAGTACTTCTACACATTCTTTTAGTATCCACGGTAAGATTCTGTCAGGCCCACCAGCCTTTGTCACATTCAGCTCCAACAGATTCCTTTTGACCTCATCACAGGTGAGGTCAAAATCCTCCAAAGCTGCTTGGTTTGGCTCCTCCTCATTTAGCACAGGGGCTTCTCCTTGTTCTTTGATGAAGACCTGGAATCTCTTGTTGAGTTCTTCACACACCTCGTTGTCATTCTCCGTGTATCAAGTCTCCCCTTTTCTCAGTTTCATCACTTGTTCCTTCACCGCTGTTTTCCTCCTGATGTGGCTGTGGAGCAGCTTTGGTTGGGTCTTAGCTTTACTCGCGATGTCATTTGCATTCTGTCTCTCTGCTTCTTTCCTCACTCTGAGGTACTCATTTCTTGCCCTCTGGTATCTCTCTCTGCTCTCTGGCAGTTCTGTTATTCCAATAGCGTCTCCATGTTCTTTTACTCACTTGCTTCGCTACCTTACATTCCTTGTTGAATCATGGATTCTTCTGTTGCTTTTCACTTTTCTCCTTTTGGACCGGGATAAATCGGTCTGCAGCTTACTGGCATTACTGGGTGACAGAGTCCATCATATCCTGAACATTCTTCTCTCTGAGTTGTGTTTCCCATGGTTTTACCCTTAGGAAGTTCCTCATTCTCATCATATTTTCCTCCTCGGTAATTCAGTATTTTCCCTTCCGATCTCATCCTTGAATAAGTTATCCCTACCTCCAAATGTCAGATACTCAAATGTCAATACACTGTGGTCACTCATTCCTATAGGGGCTTCAAATTTCACTTCTCGTTTTCTGACTCATTCAATTTGAATATCAGTCACCCGAAAATCCGATGAAAAATGGAATATTTACGAAAAATTACGAAAAATACTACAACGTTCTGGCAACACTGTGGTCCAAACCGTTTAATGATATCTTGAAAAATAACGTAATTAGAGTCAAATTTCCAGCTGCAACTTTCGTGAATCTGGTCCTCGCGCCGTGAGTACGCCGCGGGGTATTGTATCTTACGTTGTAGATGTCTTATTTTTCGTAATAGCGTTGAAAATAACATGTTATGCATAAAATGAATATAAGTTTTACCCTTAGGAAGTTCCTCATTCTCATCATATTTTCCTCCTCGGTAATTCAGTATTTTCCCTTCCGATCTCATCCTTGAATAAGTTATCCCTACCTCCGAATGTCAGATACTCAAATGTCAATACACTGTGGTCACTCATTCCTATAGGGGCTTCAAATTTCACTTCTCGTTTTCTGACTCATTCAAGGTGAATATCAGGTCGAGCCTAGCTGGTTCGCCATTGCCTCTCATTCTTGTGGGTCCCTTTCCATGTTGGCTCAGAAAATTCCTTGTTGCCACTTCCAAGAGTTTAGCTCTCCATGTATCTGCACCTCCATGTGGGTCCCCATTCTCCCAGTCTATCTTTCCATGGTGGAAATCGCCCATGATTAAGAGTCTGGAGCTATTTATGCAGGCAACTGAAGCTGCTCTACCTATTATATTATTGGTTGCCATGTTGTTCCTATCAAACTCCTGTCTGGGTCTTCTGTCATTGAGTGGAGGGTTGTAAATGACTGCCACTATTATCTTTTCAGACCCGTCCACACATTGTTATAGTACCTGTTATGTAATCTCTGAATCCGTCACAGCCTGAAATTTCCATCTCATCAAAGCTCCAGTCCTTCCTTATCAGCAGGGCCTCTCCTCCGCCTCCTCTCCCTTCCCCTTCTTTCCTTACTATATAGTAGTCCTTTAGAAACACAGCATCTGTTATGACTCCTGACAATTTTGTTTCTGTGAATCCTATTACATCTGGATTTTCTTCCTGAACCTTTTCCGCCAGTTCGGTTGCTTTATTGGTAATCCCATCGATGTGTGTGTGTGTGCGTGTACTCACCTATTTGTACTCACCTATTTGTGCTTGCGGGGGTTGAGCTTTGGCTCTTTGGTCCCGCCTCTCAACTGTCAATCAACTGGTGTACAGATTCCTGAGCCTACTGGGCTCTATCATATCTACATTTGAAACTGTGTATGAAGTCAGCCTCCACCACATCACTGCCTAATGCATTCCACCTGTTTACTACTCTGACACTGAAAAAGTTCTTTCTAACGTCCCTGCGGCTCATGTGGGTACTCAGTTTCCACCTGTGTCCCCTTGTTCGCATACCGCCAGTGTTGAATAGTTTATCCTTGTTTACCCGGTCGATTCCCCTGAGGATTTTGTAGGTTGTGATCATGTCTCCCCTTACTCTTCTGTCTTCCAATGTCGTAAGGTGCATTTCCCGCAGCCTTTCCTCGTAACTCATGCCTCTAAGTTCTGAGACTAGTCTAGTGGCATACCTTTGGACTTTTTCCAGCTTCGTCTTGTGCTTGACAAGGTACGGGCTCCATGCTGGGGCCGCATACTCCAGGATTGGTCTTACATATGTGGTGTACAAGATTCTGAATGATTCCTTACACAAGTTCCTGAACGCTGTTCTGATGTTAGCTAGCCTCGCATATGCCGCAGACGTTATTCTTTTATGTGGCCTTCAGGAGACAGGTTTCTTGAGATCTTGAGGTTATCTTGAGATGATTTTGGGGCTTTATTGTCCCCGCGGCCCGGTCCTCGACCAGGCCTCCACCCCCAGGAAGCAGCCCGTGACAGCTGACTAACACCCAGGTACCTATTTTACTGCTAGGTAACAGGGGCATAGGGTGAAAGAAACTCTGCCCAATGTTTCTCGCCGGCGCCTGGGATCGAACCCAGGACCACAGGATCACAAGTCCAGCGTGCTGTCCGCTCGGCCGACCGGCTCTCTCCGGTTTGGTGTGATATCAACTCCTAGATCTTTCTCTATGTTCGTTTCATTAAGTACTAAGTTTAAGTTTAAGTTTCATTAAGTTTAAGTTTCATTAAGTAAGTCTCCTATTCTGTATCCTGTGTCTGGCCTCCTATTTCCACTGCCTAGTTTCATTACTTTGCATTTACTCGGGTTGAACTTCAACAGCCATTTGTTGGACCATTCACTCAGTCTGTCTAGGTCATCTTGTAGCCTCCTACTATCGTCCTCAGTTTCAATCCTCCTCATAATTTTTGCATCATCGGCAACCATTGAGAGAAACGATTCTATACCCTCTGGGAGATCATTTACATATATCAGAAACAGTATAGGTCCAAGGACTGACCCCTGCGGGACTCCACTCGTAATGTCTCGCCAATCTGAGACCTCACCCCTCACACTGACTCGTTGTCTCCTGTTGCTTAGGTACTCCTGTATCCAACGGAGTACCTTCCCTTTCACTCCAGCCTGC